CATATTGGAGAACTAAAATAATGTGCAAAGCCACATTTACATTTGTTTAAAAAATACAGAGAGTTAAAAATGCAAGCGGCTGCAATGGAAAAAGAAATGCACAAACACACATTTAGCCAGTGGAGGGAAAATGTGTACCCAAACACATTATTTTAGGAAAAATTTGCACAAACATGCATATGAATTTCCATGTGGGAAGAAAGAAAATGAACATCTTGTAAAGAGGAACAAAGGAGGAGACAGATGTGCAGGTAGGATAGGGAGAAATGCAACATAGGCTACTGACACTCTACAGAATTAATGCAGTTTGATACTGCTTTAACTTCCACAGCTCAGTGCTATAGAATCTTGGGATTTATAGTTTGTGGTGGCACTGAAGCTCTCTGACAGAGAAAATGAAATAGCTCACAAAACTATAAATCCCAGAAGTCTATAGCTTTGAGCCATGGCAGTTAAAGTGGTGTCAAGCTGCATTAATTCTGCAGTGTAGATGAAGCCACAGGTGAGACCGATAGTTGTTTACATGCTTCCTTTACTTTCCTAGACTTCCTTCCCACTGTTAATACTGATCACAGCAATCATGAATACAAGAATCACTGGTAGGAGGGCAGAAAGAGGCTCAAATGTTCCTGCCCCAGTGTTTCCCTGCTGCTATGAACTATGAACAGTGGTGCATATTCTCCAATATTTAAACAGATGGAAACCAGGACATGTGTGCCTATGCAACATCAGAGTATGGTCAAAATGGCAAAAGTTATAAATGAAGGAAAACAGACAGGCAAGTCAATGCTGCAGCAATGTTCAAATCAGCACTTGCTAATTTGTCCAGGACAATCCTGATTAAGGAGCTTATCGCACACCCAAAAGAGGTGTCTTACCTCTTCCAGGTTCAGTCTGAGATCTGAGATACACCCAGATGTTATCACATATAATTCACTGCCAATTCTGCCACGATGCCGCCATGTGAATCCAGCCCAGGTCAAAGCCACGCTCAGCCAGCACTTTTTCAAAAATAGAAGTTTTATGACCTTAAAAATTGGCCAGCTACGCATGGTTGGGGTTGGCCGGTGGTAGAATCAGCAGCAAATTATGTGTGATAACATCTGGGTGTATCCCAGTTGGAGGACTGAACCCAGAAGAGGTAAGACACCTCTTTCAGGTGTGTGATAAGCTCCTAACCCTGTATCATCCTAGCGGCTTTTAACATAACCCCATTTTTCCTCTCCTCCTTGTGCAAAAGTCATTTCCACTCAGTGAGGGGAGAGGATGAAATCTTGCCCTTCTCAGAAGGCTCAGACAAAAGCAAACTGCTGCATCCACTCCTTGCTTGTGTATTCTTCCTCATTAATGATGTTTCCCATCTTGATTTCACTCTGATGTTGTTTGGCCACGGGTCTGTGCTTTGTGGCTTTGCTTCTTTGGAGGGTTTTAAACAGTGGCTGGATGGCCATCTGTCAGGGGTACTTTGCTTGTCCCTTCCTGCATAGCAGAATGAGTTTGCACTAGATGACCCTTGAGGTCTCTTCCAACCCTAGGATTCTTTGAAATTCATCTGTGAAATGTTGGAAGGCAAGCCCTTTGGGACATTCAAAAGACAGGGAGAATATTGCAGAGAAATAGCCACTTTATCCTGCGGTTTGGGGAAAGCTACCTTTGTCTGTCCTTGTATAGAAGGATGAAATAATCAAAGATTGGCATCTCTCTGGGAGACACCTTTGTGCTTCCGAAAGCTTTCTGAAGAAAGGAGAACAGGCAAGCCCAGTGGCAGATGCAGAAGGCCATCAAGCATAGTTGAGAGAGGCAGCATTCAGTCTTTCGAATAGGCCTTCAGGGGGGTCAAAGCCAAAGCCTGGATTTGCATCGGAGAGAAAAAGGCTGCAGCTTTAATGGGCACCAGGGAAGAAAGAAGGTCGGGCGTTCTGGAAAGAATCAAAAGTCTGGGGCTGGGAAGAAGGAAATAGCGATCAGGAAGGAACATTAATAAGGGGCTTATTCAAGGCAGGGAGGCAGCAGGTGTTCCACTAACACTCCATGCCGGGTGGCCACATGGTGCAAAGTAGCTCTTTTATTCTGCCCATAAAAGAAGGAGGATACAGGTGCAGCAGGAGGAGAGATGGGGCTTGCAAGCACAGGAACCACATTTCTCCAAACATGGGGTTCCACTCTTTTGGGTTTCCTTTGGAAACATCACAAAGGACGTTATGGCCCAGAAACCGAAAATAAAGTGGAAATGAGGCATCCCGAAAATA